TAGATGTTAGGTGCTTGTTGAAGATTCTAGATGCTTTGCAAGTGTCTTTTACTGTAGATTTGGGTCAACCATTTGTAATTCTTGGGCCTCTCTGTTTGCCTTATGGGCTTTAATAAATCTGTTTGTTGCCGACAAAAAAAAACGAACAATCATTAATTAGCGTTATTGGTCAACACTTTTTTTTTTATCACGAACACACTTCATTCCTAACTTATCCAAATACATTAGTATCTCGGAACCAGTAAATGACCGTAGTGCTAATATACGAAAACAGTAAATTCTTCTACCGGGCATGCCGGACCAACAGGTCTGTCCTAACATTTTTCTTTCTTGGAAAATATCGTGTGGTAAAGTCTGGAAAAGACGTCCGTAGTACCTTCAACTCATCCAGTTCCGCCTGAAAACGCGACCACTGTTCAGGCTCCATTACCATGTTAATCAATTCTGTCGAATCTGTAACGAACAGTGTACAGTATCTTCGTTTCTTCTGCAAGCTTGTCATTACCCATAGGAGGCAAAGGAGTTCGGTGTGTAAGGGGGAGAGACTCCTGCGAAGACCGCGAAGTCCAATCAGGTCTATCTCTCCGTCATATAAATGTAGTGTCCACCCAATTCCACTTGTGGGATCCTCATCTTTCCACGAACCGTCAAGATAACATGTGAACATAGCCTGTGGCAAAACCTAAGTAGGGTAGGGCTGATGATTCGTCGATTCTGTCTCCAAAGGTGCATTAGCTAAAAACCAGGTTGCGGCCTTTCTGCTTGCCAAATCAATGGTATCCTGTGGCGATCGATCATAGTTGTTGAACACGTTGTCGTAGTACTACACTTGAATTACTAGATGTATTAGGTATGGTGATTAAAAAGTTTACAAATTCAAGTAGTTATTCAATGGATTTTTAATAAAAAACTAGGTGATCGACCCGCACCGTGTACGGGTATAAATTTTAAAGAGTAAAATAATTTTGGTGTTTAATATTTTGATTTAATCATTTATCAAAATTAATTGTACATGATTGTTTATTTTAAAATTATATGTATGTAGGAAATCAATATTATAGATGTAATATTTTGGTGATGGTAAGAAAGAAGAGGAATCTCACCAAAATATAGCTAAGATTAAAAGTGATTGTGAGTACTTGGAACTTTTTAGAATAAATCAAGGACTGGTCTTCTTATTATGTCATAGTCTTGCCAACTGTCTTGATTTATCTATGATTTTTCATAAGACAAAACCACATTTCCACTTCACAGAACTTCCCGTAAGATAATTAGTTTGATCAAAGTCACTTCTTCTTACCATTTGTTACACTCTTTGAGGTGAAGCCTAATTTTTTGGGTATCATCTCAAGGTAAAAATAGAAAGGAAAAATATTGATCAACTAATTTTTTTTTATAATGTTTACTTTTGGATGTGATTAATTTTTCAAGCTTGGATACCATCGTTGATCTCAATAGCCAAATTACTATATACAATTCATCTCTACTATATCCGGAAAAAAATTCGCCTCATAATTATTCAACTTAGTTCTCTTCATTTTTTCGTATGAAATGTCAAAAGTTTTTGTCACCATTTAAAACCCCAAGTAAACATTTTTTACTTTCTATAAATGTATCGACCAACATTTTGACCAAATTCTTAGCCAAAATTGTTTTTGATGCTTTCTCTACTAATTTATTATAATTTTTTGTAATAAAAATAAAATAAAATGATTTCATATTTCTCAAACAAAACCACTACATACACCTCTTTATACGATATTTCTCTACATCTTAAATAGCGAATAAAACATTGGCCTATAATGTATAATAATTAATCG